AATTCCACTATCTTCTATTTCTCCTTAACGATTGCATGCAGATTCCATCTGCTAGTGCTTCCAAGAAGCACCACACATAACACCTCGTCGCGGTTTAATTACGAAACTCAGCACCACCTCTTTTGCTTGTGCATTCATATTCGCCTTGCTGAACTCGAATTCAACTCTTCCTTCCGCGCATGCAGGAATCTGAATGGAACGGAGTCCACATGCCCACCTAACAGCAGCCCTTGTGTGGTTCAGCAGAATCCCAAAAGCGCTTTCTGCAGCAAGTGCCCTTCCTTCTGCTCCACCTGCAACAAGACAGCACCACGTAAGTCAAGAAAATAAACAAAGACAAGAAGCACAAAAAGAAACAAGAACAAGTATCGAACCTCAGTTTTCTCTTTCTTGCTTCAAACATAGGTTTTTGTGTACCAGTGTTTCCCACTCAGTGACCCTGTCCACTTTGACCTCATCCTTCCCTGTGCATCAAGGCCGCATGCCAACACAGGAAGCATGAGCAACACGGCCTTTACACATAATTCACATCCCTGCTAAATCTCTGGGCAACCTACATGAACTTACTATCCCTTCTGTCTGTGCCACATCCCTGGCGTGCTTTCCATCCAATCCATCACAATGCGCAACCTCACCATTCTGTCATGCGACGTCATGCTACCCGTGCAACACATGCTGTCTCCATCCTGCTCCATCCCCATCCCCATCCACTCCTCTAACACGCTCCTACACTTCCCCCCCCCCCCCCCCCTCCCCCCCCTCTGCCGCTCCGGCATCCCCCTCCGTGTCTGCAGCTCCCCCCACTGCGAACACTTCCTCCTCCTCTTCAACAACCCCTCTCTCGCCTGAAGCCTCTGCCTCCCAGTCTGGAGGGGGCCTGTCTGTGGGAGTCATTGCCGGCATTGCTGTGGCTGCGGGGGTCTTGCTTCTGCTGCTGCTGATTGGTGTGCTGCTGTGGTGGAGAGGTCACAAGAGACGGGCAGCACGTGCAGCAGGTATAGTGCACATGGCGATCTGGAGGGGACTTCTGAGTCGACCTAAAACCGCCCTTTTGTCTTCAGGAGGAATGGTTACAGGTGTAGCGAACTTAGCAGCAAACAGGAACACATGCGCCTCCTCTTCCTTCTGCCTCTCCCTCTCTCGATTCCAACCGTTGAGCATCTCAATGACTGGGTACAGGTCTCAATGACTGGGTACGGGTATGACCACGAGGAAACAGATGGAATGCGGAAGGAAGAATCTTCGGGAAAGGGGGTAGGGAGGGCCGTGTGTAAGGCACACTTGAATGATAGACATTTCCAAAAGCCAGAGAGGGAGCAGCTGGCATGCGATTGTTCCCCTTATATCTTGGTCGCATTTTCAAAACGGCCCCTGTTTGACTCGTAGAAGGTGGAAATAACCAGCTTGGCTTGGGTGCCTTGGACCTCACACTACCACTCCTCTTCCCTCCCAACCCTTTACAGGCCGGGCTGCCAGCATGACAGGTGCTCAATGCACGGAGTACTCTCTTGAAGACGTCCTGAAAGCCACCAAGCACTGGAACTCTGACAACCAGCTTGGCTCGGGTGCCTTTGGTGACGTGTACAAGGGCGTGTGTCCACATGATGGCACCACCCCATGGGCTGTCAAGAGAGCCAACCCGCCACCCCGTGGATTTCCAGAAAGAGGTGGGGTGCCCTTTGAATCAGAGTCGAGAGGTGGGGTGCCCTTTGAGTCAAAGTAGAGAGGTGGGGTGCCCTTTCAGTCAAAGTCGCCAGGTAGGGTGCCCTTTGAGTCAAAGTCGAGAGGTGGGGTGCCTTTTGAGTCAAAGTTGAGAGGTGGGGTGCCCTTTGAGTCAAAGTCGAGAGGTGGGGTGCCCTTTGAGTCAAAGTCCAGAGGTGGGGTGCCCTTTGAGTCAAAGTCGAGAGGTGGGGTGCCCTTTGAGTCAAAGTCGAGAGGTGGGGTGCCCTTTGAGTCAAAGTCGAGAGGTGGGATGCCCTTTGAGTCAAAGTCGAGAGGTGGGGTGCCCTTTGACTTGACTCAAAGGTCGAGAGGTGTGTTGCTACGATAAAGGCTTGATGTTTGTTGAAGAGCCAAGCCGTTTCTCAGTCCACTTTGGCTACGCTTCTCTCAATGCATTCTGCTATGGCATGCCTTTCGAGCTGTCTGTCTCCAACCAAAGTCAAATGCGCCATGGCATGCCTCGTCCATTCCAGTGTGCCAATAGTCGGTAACACTTGTTTCTGCATGTATCCATTTTGTCTTCCTGTCTGTTTTTGGGTCGACTCAAAAGCAGTCGTTTTTAAGCAGCTTTTGAGTTGACGCAAATGAAAATAAATCCTGTGTGCCATGTAGTCGTTGACACTTGTTTCCGCATTTACCCGTTTCCTCTGGATGTGATCCTGTCCACCCCATGAAAGATTGCTTCCTCCTGTCCATTCCTGCGTTTGTTTTTCCTCGCAGGTCCAGCAAATGGCTGACAAGAACCATCCCAACCTCGTGCGGCTGCTTGGGTATGCGGTCGGAGGGGACATGAAGACACCTTATCTATGAGTTCGTTCCCAACGGGGACCTCGATCAATTTTTAAAGAAACGTATGTTTGTTCTCAACAATGACCTTGCCTAATTTATCAAGATGGGTATGTGACATGTATTCCGCTCAGATGCACCATCAGCACAACACACCCCTGGACCAGTAACAAAGGTGAGAGGTCTTTCTGTGTCTGCATATTATCTCCTGAACAATATGTAAAGAAAGTACATGACCGCATTTTGTTTTGATTGTTTTCACTTTACTTATGAAGGAATTAATGCATATGTTGTGTCACCACTCTCCCTTTGTCAATCATGCTGCTGTGACTCATGTTCTGTCACTCTCATTTTGGGTGACTCATGTTCTGTCACTCTCATTTTGGGTGACTCATGTTCTGTCACTCTCATTTTGGTTGGGTGACTCATGTTTTGTCACTCTCATTTCGGTTGGGTGACTCATGTTTTGTCACTCTCATTTCGGTTGGGTGAATCATGTTTTGTCACTCTCGTTTTGGATGACTCATGTTTTGTCACTCAATTTGTGTGACCCATGTACTGCATTCTCATTTCGTGTGACCCATGTTTTATCACACTCATTTTGTGTCATTTTGTGTCACTCTCTTCCTGTCTGCGTGTGTGCAGAGGCGTCCTCGCGACATCAAACCCACCAACATCCTCCTTGGAGAAAAGATGCAGGCAAGCATAGGGATACAACCAAAAGGATTTGAACCACAAATGAGTTTCAGATCCGCCACGAGTACGCTTTCTCTTATTTTGTGCACAATAGGGAATTGAACCACAAGATCTCTGGCTCTGATACTGTTTGTTAAACAGCGGCAGGCATAATTGACCACTGTGCCATGACATATTTGGTGCACCAACGCAGTCACAATTCTCCATGCGTCTTCGTCAATTGCCCTTCCCCATGGATCACCCCATCGTGACCTCATGACTATGTGTGTGATTTCTCAATTGCTTACACACATCATTTATTCTCTCCTTCAAAACTGGCCAGCTCAAAGCAGGAACGAGTCCTTGTCCAATCATCTTTCCTATCGCAAATATCGTCTCTAATTCAATCCTCATACCATCGGCCAGGCCAAGATCGCTGACTTTGGGTTGTTAAAAATGGGCGAGGGCACCACTGTGGGCACGACTTGGGTGATGGGGACACCGGGCTATGTGGATCCCATCTACTCACGCACCTCCAAGGCCACCACTGCCACCGATGTCTATAGGTGAGTTGCCACCAAAACTTCGAAGGCAACCGCTACCACAGACCTTTCATGCTTGGGTGAGTGATTGCTGTTAATGATTGATTTGGCATTCTAAATTGGTGAGTTAGCAATAGACATGGGCATTTGGCCTGACCCGACCCGACCCGTCCCGTTTAGGGCGACCCGTGACTGCCACGGGTCAGGTCGGGTTGGGTCGGCGGGTCAAGTTTGGCCCTAATTATATGACCCGACCCATCCGAGGTACACGGGTATCTGTGACCCGTCCCCGGGTTGGTTAAATGGTGGGTCGGGTCGGGTCGGGTAAGAGCAGGGTATGATTTATTTAGGGTTTATGGCGATCTCCTCCGCTGTTGGTGGCGATCTCCACTGCTGATAATGGCGTTCGCGCTACAGTTGGTACAGCCGACCGCAAGCGACTCTGTCTGGTGGCGATCGTGCTGCTGCGGGTTCGCGCTCGGGCTGCTACGCGCCTGGACGCGCGACGCTGCGAAGAGGTGCGGGTCACTTAATTAGGGCCTAATGGGCCGCGCACGGTGCATGTCGCTGACGCTTCCTACACTATCGCGCTCACAGCTGCAACGTCATTGCCTGTGGCGGGTGCAGTGAATGAATGTGGTGGCGTTTTGAGATCTAAATCTAGAGGAAGGAAGAGTAGCCTAAAGTGAATGAATGAGAGTTAAAGGAAAGGTAGGTAGGTAAGCGTTCAACCAGATCTAGTGCCTGGAAGTGGAAGGCGAGCAACAGAAGACAACATCCAAACTGATGTTCCCTAGAGTACCCTAAACATTGCACGGGACGGGTCGGGTATACCTGACCCTAGACACGGAACGCTACCCGGACGGGTCGGGTCAACCGGACCCGACGGTCGCTGATACCCTTGAAAAAATGGCACTGACCCGACCCGTCCAGATAGGCCCGACCCGACCTGGGCGGGTCGACCTTCTCACCATACCTGACCCGACCCGGCCAAAAAGGCTGGTCGGGTCGGGTTACCCGACCCGTCCGGGCCAAATGCCCATGTCTAGTTAGCAACGGGTTATTTACGACTATGAGCAGGTGGGGGATCTGAAGTTGATGAGTTGAGCTAAGCAGCAAGGTGAAATTCTAGAACTCCAATGCCACGTGCTTGCTATTTTTTTCCTTTGGTTTATTTTTCTCACACGTTTTCCTCGCCCTACCAGTGAGGCAACCACCCTTTTGATATCCCCGTATGATATCCCTGTGTGGCGTCCCTCTTTACGCCCTTGTCCGATGTTCCAAATACCTCTGCAGACATCCACCTCTCTGCTGCTCCGGTGTGCACTTGCTCGTGCATGCTTGTCACAGAACCAATCTGGCCACACTACATTATAACAGAAAGTGCTCTCAGTCCCCTCCCCTCTGTTTGTGTGCAGGCAGTTTGCTGATGCCCACGGTGCTCATCAGGTGAAGCCCTGAAGCCCACTCTATAACGTGTGATGGAGAGGGCACTCACAATCTGGAATACACGTTAATATCTTTTGTCTCTCTTCCTCCATGTGTGCAGTGCAGCTTTGTTGTGCTTATGCCCGTGGTGCTCGCCAGGTGAAGCCCATCGCATGAGAATATTGGAGACTCACGATCAGAAATCCCTCTGTGCTGCTCTCAATCCTTCTTCCTCCCTCTGTATGCAGCTTCGATATACTCTTTCTTTTGGTCCTCAGTGGGTGAGCCTCACTGTATAAGGCTGGTAGAGGAAGCACTCACAATGTGGCTTCTCTGTGTGCTGCTCTTGATCTTGATCACTCCCCGTTCCCTCCATTTCTACAACTTCGGTATGCTCATGGTTCTGTTGCTCATTAATCACAGCCCCCGCTCAACTCATAACGAACAGTGCTCAGCACCCCTGATACTGTCATCCCACCCACCCCCACCCCTCAACCCCCCCACTCCCCCACCTCTTCCCACTTCATTGCGTTTCCCTCCCTCTCTGTGTGTGCAGCTTCGGTGTGCTTATGCTTGTGGTGATCACAGGTCGCAGCCCCCGCTCTGCCGATGGTGACAAGAAGGGGCACATTCTGCGATGGGTGAGTGCTGCAGCTTTGGATGTGGCACACGAGTATGGATGCCCTTCTTGTATGGATCACTCATATACAAAGTCAGATTGCAATTGCTCGGCAGATGGTGCGAGAGACGGTCCTTTGATTTGCCTCGTCTAACAAACCTGGTCGCTTCAAGGGCATCAGCGTGGATGCCCTTGAGGATGCCATGCAAGTGCCGTGTGCCATTGTAACGAGGTGACTTTTGAGTTGACTTAAAAGTCGCCGGTTTGCCTCGCCTAACAACCCTGATTGCATCACGGAGATCAGCATGGATGCCCTTGATGCTGCCATGCATGTGCCCGCCTTCTTGTAGCTGAATCCCTCAAGCGTAGCAGTGCATCTCTTTCAACAGCTCGACCGAACTCAAGGACCTGAGCAATGCACCGATTCCACTCCATAGACCACATCAATTAGGATTGGACTGCCATGCATGTGTTCCATCCATTGGCCACTCCCGGCTGTCTCAACACTGTAGCATGGTCACATCAAACCATTCTCAGTGTGACTCATGCTCACAGTTTCGTTTCCTGCCTCACCCACCTTTTTCACCCCATCAGGTGGAGGATTGCGTTTCCTCCAACAACCCGGCCCTCTTCAAGGACGTGAGCACGGACGCCCCGGATGATGCTGTGCTGCGCCTGATGTACCTTCCTGCATGTATTCCTCTTGTTCAATACTCGAGGTGGAAGAATGCATCTCCTCCAACAACACACCAGCCCTCAAGGACGTGAGCATGGACGCCCCGGATGATGCTGTGCTGCGCCTGGCCCAGCTGGCGCTGCGCTGCACTGTGGAGCGCACTGCATGCCGCCCCAACATGACAGGCGTTGCCAACGAGCTTCAGGGAATCAGGCAGGAAGTGGTGGGGAAGGAGGAGCTGGGTGCAGCAGTGAAGGTGGATCTGCTAGCCCAGGAGATGCGAAGCGGCACGTCTTTCCCGAATGATCTGGCCAAGGAACTCCAAGTGATCAAGAGCATGGATGAAGAGACCGCCAATACAGGACTTCAGGGGATTGAGTACAGCTCATTTGTATCTGGTCGCACCGGATGACTTATCGTGTGAATTATCGTGCATAGTGAATCTCAAGTTCATGTTGTTTTCAACTTCCCTAGCAACTACCAAACTGTTCTCCTGTATATGGGTGAAGAGTTATGTCCTTGGGTGGGGCCTATTCAGGAACATTCGTACTTAATTCCTGGCGTGAACTCCTTTATTGTCGAGCTAGCAAAAGATTCCCTCATTTGGTCCAATTAGAACAATTACTTAGTGATTGTGGGTACGTTTTGCACCGAGCAGCCACACTTGGCCGCTTGGGCTAAACCCGTATACCAACCTCAGCCACACTCACCCTGTCTGTCAAGAACGGAATGGTGATTTCACTAAGGTTGGTCGGGGTACATAAACCTAACCCTAATTGTTGTACCCCATATGGCACACATCACTAAGACTATAACATCTGATACACCCCCATATCCTAAGTGAAGGGTGTCAAGCAAAACCAACAACGTACGGTCTCAAGACCAGTCACAAAGCAACAAAGCTCAGGGTGGATCACAATGTCACCACACACTCTGAGCACAAGCAAAAGAGCCACAAGGCCAGTTCAATAGTTCACAGAGGAATATATAAAGCGTACAAACAAAGCAAGCAGAGAATTCAAGACTACGCAAGGCGAGAACCTGTGTCAACGAGACCTAACTGCACACAACACCTCTGGTGGTCACAAGGCGGAAGGGCCTTGGTGAAGATGTTTGCAGTGTTCGCCTCGGACTCCACAAAGTCGAAGCGAGCCTATCCACGCCTCTGCAACTCTCGCAGAAGAAAGTACCTGACATTGATGTGCTTCACTCCGCTCTCCAGTCGCGGCTCTCGATAGAGGAGAATCGACGACTTGGTGTCAGTAAACAAGGTCGGTGCAGAGCTCGGCCGCTCACCAAGGTCGGTGAGCAAGAAAGTCAACCAACGCAGCTCCTGTGCAGCCATGGCTCCTGTGCACCCATGGCTCCTGTGCAGCCATGGCTCCAGCCTATTCGGTCTTCAACCGGTGCTCCGTTGCCATTGGCCAGGTGCGCTTGGTCGACGTGGGCGACGGGGACAACGACATGCAGCAGTAGGTGCCATGCCCATTTTTGGTGCGGTGACCGACGTGCTGTGTGTTGGGTGCACGTCGACGAGCTATTCTCTGAGGAGTACGGCCGTGTGGGCTGGGGGCCCAAGCGTGAACGCGGCAGGGGAGTGTCAACGGGAGTTGTGTGTTGGCCCCGTCCGCGCTTGGGCGGAGCCGACTTCGTGGTTGAGTGTGAGGGGAGCAGCCGATTTGCAGCAGTGGGCGAGCTGGTTGACGAGGAGGTCGACCTGCACGAGGGCCACTGCACGGGCGCCAACTTCAGGGTGGCGCCGACTTTGGGAAGTCGACCTGCGGAGGGCGTCGACTTGTTGACACCAACTTGGGGCAGCCGACTTGGGTGGTCGGCTGACAGGCCTGCTGGTCGACTAGGCGTGAAGTCGACCTGGTGGTCGACCAAACCTGGTGGTCAACCAGACCTAGTGGTCGACGGAGGAGGGGCCGACGTCGACCTCAACTCAGGATGCCGAGCAGCTGGGCATCGAGCAGCAGGGCGTCAACTTGGTGACACCGACTTCGGGTAGCCGGCTTGGTTGGTCGGCTTACAACTGCACTGGTCGACGTGGAGCTGGTCGACCAGGAGTGACGTCAACCTGGAGCTGGTCGACCAGGGGCGTGGTCGACCTGGGGTGGTCGTCAACTTGGGAGGTCGACGGGCACATACAGGAGCAGCTGGTCGACGTGGTTGCCCGGTCGACCAGGTTACCTGGGTGACGAGGTTCTGCGGGGGAGTGCGACGGTCGCCCAGGCGAAGTTGGTGAGTCCGACCTCGGTGGTGGTATCCCGAGATCGATGTGGCGGATCAGATGCAGTCGTCAGCGCCAGGTTGACTTGGTGTGTGCGCTGTGCAGGTGACAAGGCTCAGCACGCCAATCATGTGCGAGCACCTGCGAAGCTGGTGCGATGCTGTACTGCGGGAGCAACGCTGGCAGGCCGTCAACCTACAGCGTTGGCACGCCGTCGACTTTGCACTGCTGGAGCGCGGTCGACCAAGTCGTGCAGGATCGCCGTCGACCATGCTGTGCTGGCAGTCGACCGACCTGAATGCTAGCTCTGATGTAGTCTTGCCATGCCAACTTCTTTGTACCATTGTTGTCAACCTTCTCTAGTGAAACTCTTGCCAATTTTCCCCGTGAACTAGCAAGCAGTGTGTGCACTAGGAAAACGACTAAGGACTAACGAACGCAGAGATCACATGAGCACCCGTGCCTAGCCCGTAGTCTAGCTCCTGTTGTAGTAGTTATCTCCGCAAGACTGTCTCCCTCCAAGAACCAGCCCCACGCCTGATGTCGTCACTAGGTACTTCGCCACCCTCACAGCAGCTGTCCAGTGAACTGGACGGTGTCTCCCTGGCGCAACAAAGCAAGCTAGGATGCTAAGAGGGAAGGCGAGGTCCGGGCGAGTACAAGTCATCAGGTACATGAGGCAGCTCACAAGCTCTGCGTAGGGACCACTAGGCTCAAACGTGTTGCTTAGGATCCGGTCACTTTGAAGACTTACGACGAACTCAAATCTCAATTAAACGCAAATCCGCTCGGTAGGATTGCGCCCGCTGGTCTTAGCTACCATTAGCAAGTTGAGTCACATGATTTCATGGTCTAGGGAGTGAGAACCAACTGAAAACGTATAGCTGCTGCTTTTTACTAGAAAGGATGGAGGAAGAACAAACATTAGGCATAGAATGAGGAGTTGGGGGGTTTCAAGAGAACCTTGTAAGGGAAGGCTCTCCAAATGCTTGGGAAGGATGGTGGGAACCTCCCTAGCATCAAAGATGCAACCCTCATGATGAGGTCCTTGTGGTGTCACATGCAAAATCCAATCCAATTGGATTTTGCCTAGGTGTTGCAACATTTGCAACTCATGCTAGAAACTTCTAGCCACCCCAATCCAAAAGTCAAAGTTGTCTTCCTAACCACCCAACCAAAGATCTCTTTATAGTCATGTCCCAATAATCGCCCAATTTAGTTAATATCCCAAATAAGATAGAATTCCCAAATCTTGGAAATCTTGTAACTTGGGCGATCTTGGTCGGAATAAGGCGATCTTGGTATCGTTGGAAAGCTCTGGATTTCTCCTGCGCGATCAAGCATATAGACTTGGAGAAAAACACAGAGGTGATAAAATCCAACAGCCATGCATAAGGATTTATGCTCATGCAAATGACGCAAGCATGAATTGCACAAGCACACAGCAGGACGTTATGATTACATGCACGCATACTGACGTGCATACAACAAACTGGCCCTCAGACTAACGGACTGCATGCACACACACTCATACGCATGCAAACTCATCACACAGACAAACACACATGCCCCCATAACATTGCTGGACACACTAGTGCAACGCCATGCCACACATCTTAGCACACTTCCAATGTGCGCTCTCGGGAAGTCTCTTGGTAAGAAAATCAGTTTTCTGCTTGCAGGCCTTCACCCAATGAAGCTCAACAGCCCCCTCCTTCACCATCTACCTCACCCAGTGCCACTTAACCTTCATGTGCTTGTTCAGCCCATTCATGATAGGATTGGTGGCCATAGCAATAGCACTCTCGCTGTCAGAGAAAAGTGGTGTAGGTCCCTCTTGTTCAGCTCCCATGTCCTCCAGCAGCTTCCTCAGGAGCACAATCTCCTTAATGGCATGATACATTGCCATGTACTCTGCCTCTGCCGAAGACTGAGAAATCTCACTCTGCTTCTTGGACCTCCAACTCACTGGTCCTCCTCTGACCATGCAAATATAGCCACCCACAGATGACTGATCCTCATCTTCCGAGGCCCATGTAGCATCGGTGAAGCACGATAGCTTCAAGGTTCCAGGCATGATCCCATCTGCTCCAGGTTGCTTCAGCTGCCCTCCAGCTGAAAACTGAACACCAGCAGATGCAGTAGATCCGAGGTAGCGCACCATGCACTTTGCCACCTCCAAATGCTCCTCAGTGGGCTGCTGCACAACTCTGGCCAGCTGCCCCACTCCAAATGAAGCATCGGGTCGCGTATGCACAGCTGCATACATCACACTCCCAATGAGTGACTGGTACTCATTCTGCAGCTCATCCTCGAGCACATCATCATCCTCAGCTACCTTGTGTAGCTTGTAGCCTACAGGAAATGGCGCCATCACAGTGCGACCCTTAGTCACACCATAACGCTCCATCACGCCAGAGATGTAGTGAGACTGATGCATTTTCAGCCACTTCCTCTCGACATCTCGCTCAATCTGTAGCCCCAAGTAGTAATGGACATCCCCAAGCATCTTGAACTTGAAACTGTCCATTAGCAGCTTCTGAGCTCTTTCAATCTGCTCCATGGAAGGTGAGAACAGCAGTATGTCATCGACATACACCAGCAGCAAGAGCCGCTGCTCCCCCTCTCCGAGCACGAACAAGCTGTGGTCAGCTTGGGATGTTTTGAAGCCTCCAGCCAGCAGCACTTCCTCGAGCTTTTCGTACCAGCACCTAGGTGCTTGCTTAAGGCCATAGATAGCCTTCTTAAGCTTGCACACCCGGCCAGTACCATCATCATAGCCGTCAGGCTGCTTCATCTATATAACCTCCAACAGTATTCCATTGAAGAATGCAGTGGTGATATCCATCTGCTTCACATGCCATCCCTTCACAGTTGTGCCAGCCAGCAAAGTCCTCAATGTTACTAGCTTAGCCACAGGAGCAAAGATCGCACCAAAGTCGATCTTTTCTTTCTGCTGAAACCCTTTGGCAACTATGCGGCTCTTGAACCGCTCCAGTGCTCCATCAGGATCCGTCTCAACTTTGAAGACCCACTTGCTGCTGATGGGCCGTCGCCCTTCGGGTAGCTCAACAAGCTCCCAAGTCCCATTCTCAATGAGACTACTGAACTCCGCATCCATAGCAGCCTTCCACTCTTCCTTCTGGGGTCCACTGAGTGCCTCCTCCAATGTGGCCGGT